GTGGCCTAGTGGTTAGTTTTACTTTGTTCCTATAAATACTTGTAACAATTTATTAGTTCATGAATCAAATGCTTCCTTCGTAAACATTCTATCTTGCTTCATTCTATTGTTCATCTTTGTTTTTCGTTACATGCTCCACTCTATTTTCTCTTTTATTTTATTTTCCACTCCACTAGGTAATAAATTTTTAGTGTGTTTCTTTGTCTTATTTTTATAATTTTTGGGTATCACTTTGAGGTCTAGTTTTGAGCTTGAGTGTTAACTGTCCTATGTACTTGAACATCTAGATTTTTTTAATGATGCTGCCGGATTTAGAATGACGGCGGTTTGATTCTGAATCATGTGACATAGTTCTTGATTATGACTTCCAAAGAATTTGAAGGTAGAGAAGGTTGATTAATATCTCTGATTTGATGGTAATTCTGACATTATTGTTGTTGTTGAGGAAGTTTTGGAAGGATAAGATYGTTTGTTTTAGGAGCATTACTTGTTGTTCCTCTTTGTGTTCTCGCCTAAAAGAAAYAGGGGTGTTGTCTCTGAGTTGGATTATATGTGCTAGAGAATAGAGTATTTTAGGTTTGTTCTTGGTAATGCTCTTGTTTCTGTGTATCTCTGTTTCTTGTTTTTAAAGAAAAAGAAAATAGAAAAAAAAATATGTTTGATAACTATATTCTATTTCTTGTTTCTATTTTTAGTTTCTTTGGTACAACAATTTGTAGGGGCTATGATTTGAATCCATGACCTCTGACCGAGAATATATACCTGAACCTAGATTGACTTATTTTTTAGTTTTAGTTAAAATAAAATTTAGTAAATATAGTATAAAAAAATATAACAAATATAAATTTCTTTCATATAAAAGTAAAAATTAATAGCTTTTAAATGCACGAAAAACGTCTCTATGATTGTTTTGAAATAGTGAAAACACCAGTAATAAAGAACTTTAACTATGAAAATATTGGAGCAGGAGTCCATACTAAACGATTTGGTCATGTAATTTATGTCTTAAAGCATGGTTTTTACACCATAACTATACTGATATAAATATCTATTTTAAAGCTATTGAGGTGCATTAGCAATCATATTGAACCCAAAAATTAATTTTACACCTCCGCATCCAAGAACAAAAAAGAAACTAACCAGATATAGTGAAATCGTTTTATTCTTTTCCTATGGTAGGACGAGATAAATGAAAACTCTATACAACATAATCAAGGACGATAAGATAAGCATATAGTCAAAAGAAAAGTCAACATACTCCGAGGAAAAGATCAATCCTCATCTTTTGTTGCCTCTGCAAGTAATAAGGACTAATTTAAATACTTTACTATCTATGAACTAGTTAACAAAATTCTGTTCACCAAAAGCTTAAAAAATTAGGCAGCGTTAAATTTAAGTTTTTAGGATTCATTCTTTAAATGATTACCAAAATCGAATAAACCACAAGTAGATATCGTAGCATAACATCTGCAAATGAACTCCGCTATTGTCACTCACCCCCTATAAACATGASCAATCCAAAAATCTAAGCTAATAAGAGCATGTGTACCCTGAAAAAAAAAAAAAAAAAGATGACAATTTCTACGAAATTGGAAATCCCATCTTCTACACGTAAGTCATTCAATTTCATTATATATATCTATTATTAAAATGCTTTAAAAAAATTGAATTCGCCTCCTATTATTTGTTAATGGCGCACTACCCAGCGGTTACCATTTTAAAATCATTTTATTCCATCTTATTCTTATTGATGGAAGAAGAATTTACCGAGAGATTTTCTACAGAAAATTTAGGGTCTCTAGCCTAACAAAGGAAGTCCGTGTTTTCCATCGAGACATAGATTAAATCATTGGATAGGTTAGCAACGAATATTTTCTTCATTTTTAAATTTGATTGCTATGGCTGGAGGTATGTAATCTTTAAATTTTATCTAACATTTGGTATCAGAGTCATGTTTCCAATCTAACCTTTAATTTGCTTTTATTGCTAGCATGTGTTGATGCTTGTTGTTTTAAGCATGATCTTTTCCGTCTTTAAGGTTTTCTGTTGTTTTGGTGGAATTCTTCCGTGTTTTTTGTGTTATTATATTTTGATGATTCTGTATGTGCAGAAGTTTTTTCTCTTTGCTAAATCAGAAATTTTGATCCAGCTTGAATTTTTTATTCTAAGGTTTTATATTCTGTTTTAGTTTTCAAAATTTTACTGTTCGTTTAATTTTGAAAAATTTATTGTTTGCGTATCATGTGTTATATACAGAATCATGATTATGTACTTTTACAGAATCCTACTATATCTTATTTATACAGAAACATGTATTTTTTGTGATCCTTTCAACATTCATGTTTTTAGTTATTTATATGCATTTGAATATATTATATGTACATAGTTAAATATATTGCCTAATATTATTTAGAGAGATATTTAAGAAAAAAAATTTAGAGTGAGAAATAAATTTGTTAGAGATAAATATGTCAAAGAAAAAAAAGTTATATTAAAAAAAATGAGATTTTGAAAAACAGAAATCTGTTTTTAAAAACTTCTTTGGTTATCAAACACCCCCATTTTTCAAAAACGAAAAACTAAAAACCAAAAATTGAAAACCAAATGGTTATCAAACGGACCCTTAAGTAATTAATGAATAGCCACAACATCTTTAAATATTCTAATGTTTTTAAGATATTTTACTATTTTTTAATTTATTGAAATGACATAAATATTTGTAATTGAATATAAATTTTCTATATAGAGAAAATTATATATATTTTTGGAAATTTTAGTAGTCCACAGGCCTAAATATTAGTCTCATATACTTGAATATTTTAATTTTTGCCTATCAGAAAAATTATAACATTCAATTATTTGATTATTGGATTAGTTTACATGGGTATATTTTCCATAGTTTACTTGCTTCATTACATTTTGTAAGCTTGTGTTTATTTATTTATTTTACAGTTCAGTCTTTAATTATTCTCAATTCTAAATCATCTCGTATCACATTTTTAAGTGGTGACAATTTTAAGGATTTGGAAGAAAAAGTTCTATTGACATTAGGGTGCATAGACATTGGCTTGATATTACGTATTGATGAACCGTCAATACCTACAAAATTAAGTATCCAAAATGAGAAAGTAGCATATGAACAGTGGGAGAGATCCAACCACTTAAGTATGATGCTTATCAAGTCTCATGTGGGTAAAAGTATTCGTGGTTCAATTCCGGATTATGATAAAGTCAAGGATTATCTTGATGCTATTGAATAGTAGTTTGTTACTTATGATAAGGCAATGGCAAGCACCCTAATGAATCAATTGTCCTCTATGAAGTTTGATGGTACGAAAGGTACACATGAGCACATAATGGAAATGAGATAGGGATTTTTGAGTCTTTTATGGTTCTCTACATCCTTAATTCACTTCCTTCTGAATATGGACCTTTTAAAATTTCATATATGTCATTATTGTGGTGTTGAAGGTCATATAAGACCTAAGCACTTTAAATTAAAATATAATCAAACTACTAGAAGAAATTTTTCTCAAAGAGCAAAGTTTCACAATGCTCCAAGAAAGATTTTCTCCGAAAAAAGTAGGATGCATAAATTTGTTGTAAAAGATAATTCATTGCATAATGTTGTTTGTTTTCATGTGGCAAGTATGGACATAAATATTATTCTTGTTACTTGTCTAAATCTAATGYTTTCAATAAAAATGCAAAAATGAAATGGATCCCCAAATTTGTTAATGCTAACCTTCTAGGACCCAAACAAGTATGGGTACCAAAGGATCAAATTTAAATTTTTGTATTTGTAAGTTTGTTTGAAAGCTTCCAAGAAAATTAACTGGTACTTGGATAACGGTTGCTCAAGGCACATGACGGGAGACCAATCAAAGTTTGTCACTTTCTCCAAAAAGGATAGAAGTTTTGTAACCTTTGGTAATAACAAGAAAGGTAAAATAATAGGTAAGGGTACACTACAACAAATCTGCTATTTCATGACGGGCATTGCCCGACATTAAACATTAACCATGTCGGTCACTGACCGACATCTATACGAGTGTCCTTG